TCGACATGAATCAAAAATTCACTTTTGGAAAGTCGCTGATGGGTCATTTTGACTCGGTTGGTAACTCTAGTGTTAACAATCATTACACTTTTTTAGAATTATATTTTATAAGGCGATCGAAAAATTGCTGCTGTCTCCGCATATAAGGCGAATAAAAAGAAGACAAATTCTGAATCTGAAGAGAATTCTACCGACGAAGAAACTATCAGCGCCTCAAAAAGCGATGTCGGTGTAACTTTAATTTGAATTTCCCGCGTTGCAGGGTGCCTTACTGTATTTATTCCTGCTTTTTCCATCAAAATCTAAAACTGCAATCAACGCTAAATTTTCTTCTCACGAACGAAGAAAAATCAGGTTAAAATTCTCCGTCAGAGGAAAAGATTCCCCCATCGATCAACCAAGCAGTAAATTTGTCGCCTCTGAGTCGAGAAACAATCAATTCTTCGGAAGATTTCAAAAATTCTCATCTGTCACCTAACGTGACCAGTCTAATTCTTTCTCGTTAATTGAAATCATCTTAAAAAACAATGATCCTCGGCTGCAAAAACGTTCGAAATTCTAACGCGGCCGGAAGAAAGTTGAGCGGTGAAAATATTCAAACGCGGCACGTGACACACGCGGAGAATAATCCTGACGCACAAAGGGAAATTCGCCTGGTTGGCATATACAATTTGTTACGTTTTAATTAATGCGAGTATCAAAGCGGCGCACACACGGCAGAGCGTATGTAACATGTTCGAAGCGGCCGGCGGGAAAATAGAGAAGAAAAGAAAGAGAAAACGCTTCTACGGTACAACGGAGAAACACCCAACGTAGCTTACCGCACGATGACATTTATATACACAAACGTGATACAATTTCGCTGGATATTGAGAGCTCAAAGGGCCCCCGCCGTTCACCGCCAGTCCTCGTTCGTAATATCAAATTTAAATTACAAAGAGCTGCTCGATGATGCACACGATACCGAGCAACTTAATCCACGGAAAAATAACGCTTTTCAATGCGCTTTTCTGTATATACAGACGCGGTTTCATCGACAGCTCCACTCTGACTTATCCGTGAGTTCAATAGTAAAAAGCGGTGAAAAGAGCGACACGCGATAGATGCTTCGTTTTGTTTAACAGATACAGCTGCTTCTATGATTAATCATATTTTAGCCATTGGTAATAACGATAATGTTCCATTAAATTGCAAATGTACCGATATGCGCAAATTTTGTATTCACATTCAACGGTGCATTTATGTATTCGTTATCAGATATCGAAATTTGAACGGTATGGAAATAAACGAGATAAGGTAAGCCTTCGACAGAGATTATTGGAACACAAGAATAACTCAGAAACGAGGTGAAACAAGTGGTGTGTCTATATGAACCTTTTTATCTTTGCTTGTTGGATTCACTGTTAGATCTCGACGATAGCAGGGATATTCTGCATGTAATGATTTACGTCACTCTGCTAACACGTGATACGTGAATAGTAACACTGCTAGAGTAGATGCTAGATCATCCACAATAGTATGCACCAATGTACAATTACTCTCGAGAGTATTCGAACACTGTGCAGGCAAAAATATTCGCAATACTTAAAAGTGAGTGATATAAACATTATTAATTTTTTCCAAGTGTCTGATTGGACGTAATTTCCATTAATTTGTGTTACAACCTCGTATACGAAAATGCATTAACCCTTTCACTGCTCTTGGCTGCAAGCGCTTTGAAAATTTTCTTGCAATACGCTCTTGCCGACTTCTCGCACACTTTTGCTTCAATTTTTACCCTTTGCATATTTCCACCTGAATTTAATAAAACGATAAATTCAAAAATTCGAAAATTTGTATCGCAATTGTACGCGTAATTTTTTTATTATTTTCTCTCACTTTCCATATCGCGTTATCATTCCAATTGCGGCAAGAAAATTAAGTCACAGCATTACAAATAACGAGGAACCTATCTCTAAATAATTCTAAATAATTGAAATAAAAATAAAATTAGTCTCATTCGGTTCGTCGAGTTAAGAAAAATACGAGCGTCAAATTGTTAATCAAAGAACAAACTCCATTTATTTATCACAACCTCCTAAGGTCAGCCTCGTTATCAGTAACCCAACATTTCGTTGACACAGACTGTCAATAGATATACACTTTCCAGGCAGCACAGTGAAAGAAAGTACGATTTCCTAATCTCTCGAGTAGAACGGTTATCATTGAACGCGATAACGCGTCTTATTTACCCGCGAGCATATTTAACAATCAACAATCGAGACACGTTATCACTTCTACCAACCAAAGACGAGCATTATCAATTTCTTTTTCAAAATGTAAAATCCAACTCTTTACGTCGTTGGAAGAAAAAAAAAAAAAAATAAAGTTGATTCTTTGTATCGTGTTGGTAAGGTAGATACCGGTGATTTTCGTGTAAACGTCACCGGCCGAGGATTCGCCATCGATCAGCCAAAGCAGCGGGTGAGTTTGTCACCCCTGGATCGAGGAGCAATTAATACTGCGAACGACTTCGTGGAACGGACAGCGAGGCACGTAAGTAAACTGGCTGTCAAATCGGATTTCTGACGTGGTCGAGGGGGCCGAATTCGCACGGGCCGCCTCGAGATTTCTCGTTACCGATAATGAGCCGAGATCCTATTCCAGGCGGCGGGAACACCGCTGTTCCACATTATCATAACGGAATTCACGAGCACCGCTTTCGTAGAGTAATTAACTTTCGCGTAGAACGCCATTGTTCCCCGTGTATGCTTGTTACGCTATGAAAAAAAGGAAGTGCGAAAATTCTTGTGGCATTACCGACATTACCAGAACGTTATATTTAATTAACATTTACCGCGCGCCGCGCGTTACGTTTCCACGAACAACACTCTTTTTTCTGATTTTATAAAACATTTCTTTTCGTCTTTTCTTTTTTGCTTCAGCTTTCAGGGGTTCGATTTTAATTAGTTACGTTCGTTAAAATTCCATTATGAAATTATTATGGTAACGACGCGACGTTGTAATGGCTATTATATTCGGGCATCGGTTGCTAGTTCGTTAATGGTTAGAATTTGTAAACGTACTCTCGAATTTCTCGAAATTAGCGAAAGAGCTACTTCGAGGAATTAATAATATACCAAAACGGCTCTCGTTAGTAGTTATAATTAGACACACGTTAAAGTGTTCAAAAAGTTCAATTTATAATAGAATAATTATTCAGTTTGAATGGAAATTAATTTAAGCAAAAATGGAATAATTATATATCATTTGTGAACACTTGCAAATCGCTTAATTTCTTACGCCGGCTTTTGATAAAGCGGCCGCGTTGGCAGATTACGCGGACCAATCGCGTGAGAGCACGTTTCCCGTTCAAATGAGTCATCAACGCTGAATCTTCCCGCCCGATAGTCATTCCGATTCACTATATCCCGGTATGACCAACTATACGGGCGAACTTTGATCACCAAAGCACAATTTCGAATCGTCGATGTGCCATAACCTCTAATTAGGCTTCTAACCTAATCCCACGATGTGCATATGTATACGGGGCCAATGGAGGAATAATCGAAGCCTGAGAGGATTTCGAGATTTATTCGAGAGAGACTTTTTGTCAGGACAAGACAAACCCGAAGCACGTCGTCTGAAATGTCTACGACTTACGAGTGTTCCAACTTTAAGCTATTCGAGACGCCTGTGCTGCTACGTGACATCGACGCTACGTATAATATGTGCTCGAGGATAGAGTGCACGAGTACTAAGCTCGATCCTATCGGTCGAGTTAATTATTTTCATGCAGGGCTCGTGATGCAAGTTCGTGTTAATGTAAGGAAATTTAATGGGAGATTATCACTGGACTATCCGGGCTTAAGGATATGTTTGATGTAATAAATACAGCGAAATTGCCAGACCTATACGTGTTGGATGTCAACAATTGTAAAGTAAGCTTCGTACGAGTCGCGAGAAAATTAGAAATTTCAACGTTTTAGAAGTTTGAAACAAAGTTAAAATGTTAGGTTATAATACGCGTTCGCAGAAAAATTCTCGAAATTTTAACACTCGTATTTTTTTTCTTCTGATTATTATAAATCACCGATAATCTAATTTAAATATTTCTTGTTATATTATACTTGGTCGAATAACTGTACTTTCGATGGTTGATAACATCGAGAATTCAGTTCAGACACACTGACAACAAACAGTAATGTCATTGGAAGCAGGATATACGCGATGGTAAAAGTCACGAGGAACAAGAGTCTTGATATAACAACATACTTATTTCCAGACAATTTTACAATTTACATTACTTCGAAGAAAAATCTATGACGACAGCATGTACTCTTTTCATGAAACTTAATGCTCCGGAAGAGATAAAAACGATCCTTGTTAGACTAACCTTATTATACGAAAGCCATTTTCTTATAAAGCACATTAAAGAACGGTACATTGAAAATACACATTTTTGATTTAAAATCATATTTCTATCACACTTGACTGATCAATATGGCACTATTTTCTAATTAGTCAAAATTCACGAAAAGCAGATTATAAATTCGTAAAGAAACAGCATGACAAAGAAAAACTATTTCGACAGATACGACACAGTATAGCCAACCGTAACAATTGCCCTTAATCTGCCATACCAGTGTACCAGTCGTCACCGTTGACATCATCATAACCTACGTGGAAACACATAATCGGACAACCTAACATCTGAATCTGGAACGCAAATTCCCACTCGCGAAACCAATGGCTTCTTTATTTAAAACGCGTGCTCGCTCACCAGTTGAAAGGGCTCTTTGACCGTTCGACGAGCAACGTGTCGAGAAAAAAAGGCATTCGTTCCCGTACACGTGTGTCCCTAACGCACACACAGAGCCAACGGAATTCTCGGAAAAACAAAAACGACAAGGCATCGAGAAAGAAAAAACATCCTATATTTCATCACTCGTGGAACGAAATACAAACGTTCCTGACCCCCGAGAACCTAGTAAATAACGTGTCGGTAAAGTGTCACTGACCTTGAGTCGAACTTGGTGTCGTCCTGCAACGTGCCGGTGTAGTGCATCGTCAGCTGGTCACCGATCTTGGATTTCGCGTCGCATACCTCTGGCACGTACAGCTTTTCGATCTTCAACGCCGATGGTTTCTGATCAGCTTCGGCGAGAACAAGAATAGCAGCAAGCACGAGAAGCACCGTACGGCAAGCCGCGAACACGACACCCGCGTTGTTATTCACGAAAAGGACAGCCATAATTCGTACGTTCGCTGGCGAATGCTCGTGAGCAACTGACTCGGCGTAGCGCTCTACTCCGGCGAGCTACCTTCGTTTCCCTCTCCCTCTGTCGGCTGGCTGCGCCGTACTTCGTTCCGAGATCAGACGAACGCGTTGGAAAAGGATGAGAGCATCGTGCCGACACATTGCGCCGTCTCATTGGCCCCACGGAATATGTAGGTCTCTGCCTCGGCCTCTTTTCCTCCTTCCTCTCTCTCTCTCTCGCTCCCCTTTCCCTCTTTTCTCTCTCTCGCTGTCTCGCTTTCTCTTGCTATTCCACTTGCGTTTCAGTCTTTCCCTCTCTCTCTATTTCTCGTTTTCTCTCGTTCGAGTCAAGGGATTCTTCCTACTCGCGCGTTCCCTTTTCTCTCTCGCCCACGCTGCACATCTCGCGTTCTCTCCTTGTTTCTTTTCCTCGCAGCGGTGTGGTCCTCGTCGTTCCACGGTTCGGTTCTCCAGCGTCGACCTTCCTCTGTAACACGCGTGCCGGCCGTGGTAGCTTCGTCATCGACGGACGAAACCTTCCATTCCGGCTCTCTCTTCGAAACTGGCCCGTCGTGGCCTTCTTTTCACGAACCGTGCATATTTCTTCCTTGCGGTATCGTAGGATACTGTTGGACTCTCGCGTGATCAACCTTCCTGCCGTCTCTTCTCTCTATCCGGGTCACTTTGTAATTTTGACTCGGAAACGTAGCTTCTTGGTTAGCTTTTGTATATACCAAAGTGCTCGTGCTATGTGGAATATCTTTAGCGAAGCCACAGAACGACGACATATTGGCTAGTGGAGTATCTTTGTTCGTGGAATGTTTTCAGCGATAGATAGGTGGAATACTTTCTCTAGTTGACACTCTTCACTGCGCTGTAATTAAATTGTGAAAGTTCTGTTCGGTGTTTCGTGAAATATTGATGGAAAATTTGAACGTATTACAATTGGTGTAGAATTAAGATGTTTTGTGGTAGAGAAAAATAGATTTCATATTTGACGATGATTGTCGCGGAACTTTAACCTCTTCGAAGACGATTGTTTTAAGGTTAGAAAAAAATGATGCAATTTTTTATGTAGTTACATTGCTGTCCTTGTTGGGAGATTATCGTAGGAAAAACCAAACGTTCACATATGCGTGGATGGTGGTTAAAATCGACCTAGAACAAACTTTTATTGCTTGACACCTGAACTCCTCGTTTCACACGATGTAGAACGATTACGGTATTACCACCTAATACCGGTATTATTCAAAGTGGTATCAGGTTATACGAAACTATATAGGATTATGCCGATCGATCCGATTTTAAACTGTAAAGTTTACCGTGGCCCAGAAACGCCGTCCTCCAAAATTATTCGACGACAAAATAGCGAAGATGAAAATTGAACGATGACACGAGCCATTAACGTAGAAAACATGAAAATAAGAATGATTTCTTTCGTAGAGAGTAATACTTTTCCTTCGGTGAAAGCTGTCTGATGTAATAACCTCTTTCACCGAACGTCACGAAACAACGGTAACATCTGAAAAACCAAAGATTACCGTCGGAACAAGAAATTCGTCCAAGAGCATTCACAGAAACTCTCGTCTGACGCATCAAACGACAAAAGAAGCAAACACGAAATCGTCGCGACGACGGTATAGGGCAGATAGAAGCACCGGAGAGAGTTTCTCAAACGCGCCAGATTAAAACTTCCTTGGAAACTGTTAACGAAGAGGTAAACGAACTGTATCGGGGTGCATCGGTATTGTGTTAAAAAATAATAAATCCCTGTTTTGTTTCGTTCTATGCAACTACGATCCGTACGTATCTGCTACTCTTCGTAGTAGGTACTTTGAAAAAAAAAAAAGAAGAAGAAAAATAGCAACCTTCTTCGTGCAACTTTTACTTCTTCTGAAGACGTCAAAGAAAAAGAAACTGCGTTAACGTTTGTCTCCGTTGACGTCATAATTAATTTCCCTTTACTTGCCCACTTGTGTCTCGCTCTTCTCGTCATACTTACCCATTTGCTTGCAGTTCTCGCGAAACGTCTTCCAACTTGCTCCAACTCTCGTCCAACCTCCTCTTCCTGGTCTTTTTCGAACGTAATTTTGCTTCTTTTTTTTCGTTCAAAGTTTCCCTCTCGCTTTGTGTCTTCGCGCGATATCTTCTCCCTCTTTTGTATTATATATAATTGTTTCACCTTCTCGCACGTTGTTCTCTCCTTCGGCTTGCGCTTTTTCCAAGTGCAACAAATATCATTCCGATGCATCCAACCCTTTCTGCACGTTTTCTTACACTTTTCCCGCCTTCCGTATTCACCCCTTTCTCTTTTACTTCGCTCATCGTCGTCCTACTTTCTTCGTTTGCCAGCCGTGTCACAGCTGCAGCCAAGCGGACTCGAGCGTCGGAATACATCTCTTCTTGCGCGGAGCCGCGTGCACCGACGCTCTGCCAGCGGCGTTCTCCAAAGTTGCACGCGTATCTCGGCGGCTGGAGAACGCTCCGCTGCGTCCCGACGCTCGCCTCGCGGGTAATTCGCGCTGCCGATTAAGGGGCCTCGCGAATTTCACGCGAAAATTAGGCGCTCGAGTGTCACTCGAGGTGAACGCTCGACTTCTTCTCAGAATTTCACGGGATTATGATATCAGTAGGGTTCTCTTTCTCTTTTTTCTTTTTTTTTTTCTTAGTTTCAATGAATGCTACTTAACACTTGTGTTGAATATTTCTTTTCGGCGGAAATTTTCGTGCAAGAATCAGAGAAACGGGAGAATTTGAAATTACGATATTTTGCGAATTATTTTGCATTATTTACGAATTTTATTATTTATTCCCTTGTTTCTGGGATAATTTGTATTTTATCAAAAATCAGATACATGGGAGAATTTGAAATCACAATAATATCGTAAAGCTACTATTTGGGAATTATTTTATTTTAATCGTGAAGAATAATCTTTACTGTTACAAAATATTTATTCATTTATTTCTGCGTTAAATTATGTATATTACGAATGATACAGACTGTTGCCCTCGATTCTGCTTTCTTTGTAAATCATAAAGCTCTTTCGTCCCAACTTAATCTATTTAAAATTTACATTCCACAAAATTATCAAACCATTTGCAAAAATTGTCAAACAAAGATCTGCACACAACGTTCAAAGTCCTCGGCAAATGAACACACAAGAGTGCCTTCCGTAATAAAATTTCTGTCAAAATCAAACATAACACAAATTTCATCAAAATCGAACACAACCACGAAAATAATAATCTCGCTGAAATTAAAATCAATTTCTATTCACCAGCCAGAATTCCTTATTGCAAATGAACAAAAGCTGGAACGTAGTTCACAATAAAAACGTAATCTGCCGTTCAATAAACAAGTAAAAATCACAAAACCGCCCGGGGTTTACATTTTAGTATTACAGCAAAAATTCAAAAAAAAATGGAAAAAAAAAACAGAGAGAGGAAGAGGATCCAAGGGAAAATTTCAGTTACAAATATTACAAATATTGAATCAGAGGCACTGTCCATGTATCCCGGGCAGATTCTAATCCCCGTGGACTGGCAATTTTTTTATTTGCCCAGCGACTCGTATCTGTCGTATCGAATTACACGTGGAGTCGCGCGGATTTCGCCGGATCCCGCGTTTAAATTAAAACGTTCGTCGCCGTGAGAAGCTAGCGCGCGATCAATCTTTTGCCCGCCTGCCGCCGCCTTCTCTCACTCTTTTTTTTCCCATTTTTTTCCCTCCCCTGTCACCGGTATTACCGTATCGCGCCCGTCAGCTTATAAAGTTTCCACGGGTGTCGCGAATGAACTTGTTCCAATTACAAACGCTCGCAACTTTGTCCCACCTCCGCAGCTTCTTTCTGTCCGCGGACTAATTCGCCGGTCGCGTTCGTCGTGGCACAATAACGCCCCGGCCTGAAAACTCGCGTTTCTCCGTGGCTCCATGGAGCGTAAGTGTATATACGCAGAGTTTCTCAAGTGAATCTCGTTCGGCTGTGAACGAGCGCAATTAAACGGGTCACGGGCGAAACGGAGGAAACATCCCTTCGAGAGACCAATAATTCGTACGCTTACGTGGCTCGCGACCGCGAAAAGAAACGACCGTGAAATATTCGCCGGAACGGGATAGATGAAATTTCTTAATCTAAGGGGAGTCGTTTAGAAATGGGCGAATGAGGACGTTGAAGAGGAGGCAGAATGTGAAATACTTATCTTCTGTTTCGCGAGATGATCGTCGTCGTTGGTGGTTTAGAGGATGCTTTACCTTTCTGTTTTTAATTTCTGATTATATTGGTATATTCTGGTGTTTAGTATCTTTTCTAACGGTGCATGGGATAGGTGTGTGATTTGTGGGTTAATGTGAGATGGATATGGAACTTAAAATGTGAATAGGTTTTTCAGTTATTAAAAATGGAGTGAAATGGGTGATTTTAATTTCAACCACTATTTTTCTTGGAGTCTTATTACTTTGGGAATGTTTTTCTAATAGTAAATTCTGCTATAGGTGTATTTAGGTGTATAAACCGAATAAATTAAGTGGTCCACAAGGCAAATTCAGTAAATTAATTAAAAACGTAACACTTTCAAAATATTGTTTAATATTTTGCCTAGGTGAACCAATAAATTTTAGGCAGGTTACTCACATATTACTTTGGGTTAAAGTTAAGTTCCGTTTCTTCAAAAAAAAAAATACTTTAGATTAATAACAAGGAACACAAACAAACAAAGTTACTTTGAAAAAAATAGCAAATATAAAAAAATCAGAATCATAGAAATAAGAAAAAATAAAAAATTCAATTCTCAGGGTCCATCACTTATTGCTGAGTCGACCGCAGAATTTCAGACTTCGCCATATTTCACACTTATTACACTTCCTTACAAATACTCCAAAGAAATTGAAAAAAAATATTTCAACAATTTATTTACTAATCCTACAAATTTCTCCAATTCACACAACAAGTGAAACTTTCTAACGCGACTAATTCCCCGTGCAACTCCTACGTTCAATAAACCACCCCCGGAATAAAG